ACAGCACCCAATGTTGAACTAAAAGCATCAGACTTGAGTCTCTCAGCGCCCAAACTTGAGGGAGACATTGGTACTCCAGGCATTGATGCTGGTCTCAAAACTGGCATTGATCCCAACGTGAATGTTGGTTTGCCTGAAACTGATATCAAGGCACCCAGTCTACATCTGCCAAAAGCTGACCTCCAGTCATCTGATCTCAGCTTGAAAACACCAAATGTCAACCTTTATCCACCAAAAATTGGTGGTAGTCTCTCAGCACCAAACATAGACACGAGTATGCCAAAAATTGAACTAGAAGCACCCAATGCCAATGTGAAATCTCCAGGTTTGGATGTCAACCTGCCAGAAGCAGACCTCAAAGATTCCAATATCCAGTTGAAAACTCCAGATCTGGATTTGAATACCCACCTTGGTGACTTTAAAATGCCACATTACAATCATCCAAAACTTGATCTTTCAAGTCCTGAAGTAGAAGCTCCCAGTATTAATCCCACAGTTGAGGCTGGAATTAAGGTACCTGGAGTCAGCACAGATATGCCTACAACAGATGCACACATCTCTGTTCCTGCAGTAGATTTGAATGCACCAAATGTAGGTGATATTAAAGGACCTGATGTAGATGTGAAAGCTCCAGATGTAGATGCAAGTCTTGAGAAGCCCAAGATGCCACATTTCAAGATCCCAAAGTTTAGTCTTTTTGGATCTAAAGCAAAATCTCCTGAGACTAATGCCAGTGCAGATCTTGAGGGGAGTGGCTCTGACTCTGATGTGGGGGAGGTGGAGGTTCCTGTATTCAAGTTCCACAGACTGCCCCAAATCAACATTGATGGCATTGGAGGAATTACTGAAGCACTGAGCTCAATAAAATCTGACTTGGAGGAGAAGGATTTTGTTTTCAGTAAAGGAATCCGCTTGCCAGTAGTGAATGCAACAGCAAAAGAAGGAGAAAAGATTGACATTTTGGAGAGATTGAAAATCGCAAGAGAAAAGGCGTCCTCAGTGAATGTGTCGCCAACAGAAGAGAAAACTGATATTGACCTACAACACACTGGCGCAGGTCTTGATGCTAATACATCTACCGGTGCAGGAGATGCGTCTTTGGTCAGAGGAGGCACTTTCAAAGTAGACAAACCAGAGTCTACGCTGGGGCTGACCGTACCTGATATTTCTACATCAGATGAAAATGACAAATATGCACTGAGCCTTTCTAATATGCTTGGCCTTAATGTCAAGGATTCTGATGCCAACTGATCGTTCAAAGGTTGGCCTGATAACTGAAGCTCCAGTCCATAAATGTATGAATACATGCAGCGTAACTGATTTTCATGTTTTAGTTTGTGATATAAAGAGAGACTAGCTGTAACTAATCCATCTTGTTGTAATTTTAATAATAATTTAGCGTAATAGAGTTCAGTTGTTGATACAATCTATGTATATTTTCCTGTTATTTATAAGCTTTTTCTAAATGTTAATTTGAAATTACTTTACTTTCAGTATTGCTTGTGATCACCATAAACTTTGTCTAGCAAGTGCTTTACTAAATATTTTAAAGGATAAATGAATTGTGTGAATGTGTTACTCTTCGTTCAATAAATCATTACAATGTCCAAAATAAAAATGTCCAGTAATTAAAGCCAGAGATGGTCTGTAATTGTTGAAACATCCCTCCATACAAGTGATTTAACCCACGGTCCATTCCTGCCATACCACTTGATATGATGAGTATAAAATTCTAACAACCTCATTACATTACATATAGGTAAATACAATGATTACTAAAATATGTGATACTCATTAATGACTTGAAGCTGTTGTATCAGGTTATGGAACACACCTTTGAGATTGTTCTGATATTGCAATTCAATATTTGAAAACAACAAAAACATTGACAAGTTTTTTTTTTTTTACATGTTTATTTCATACTGATAAAAGCTCTTAAAAATACTTTGCATGCTTTTTAGTTTACAGGTTATTTCTTTGGGTAATTTTACAAAAGGTGTTTGACTCCAATAAACTGTTTATAACATGGCTCTACTTTCAGCTTTATTTATGCTAATGTTTAGTATTCAAAAAGTTATGAAGGGGATCCTGTTAACATGGGCTCATGTTCCCCCCCCCCAAAACCCCCAAACAGTAACCCACACCAATAGAAAATCCTATTTGGGGGGTGGGGGTATTCTTTGCACCTAGAGCCATGCTAGTGTTTCTGAAATCAGGATTTCCCTTTTTCATATTTAGCTGAACAGAAAAACTGAGACAGTGAAGGTTGACAGGAATGAGTACTTTTGTAATGGGGGGAAACATTTCCCTTAAGAACTCAGGAAACCATCAGATGTATGGATACACTGTCTCAGAACTAAGTGTGAAATTAATCTCTTCTACCGCAGCGGTCCCCAATCCCCGGTCCACGGCCCGGTACCGGTCTGACTCGTGGTACCGGGCCGTGAGAGTTGAGGCTCGGGTGTGAAATTTGTGTTTTTCAGGGTTGTTATCGTGAACTCTGTTTCCCTGGGTCTTTCCCGTGTTGTAGTTCTGCGTCTTCTTTTGAAAGAAATATTTACGCGTGTCCATAGCAACCAGAGGGGATTAAGGAGGATGTTACTGTCAATGTTGTTGGTGTATTTCAGGAGGACGCTGCTAATAAAGTTACACAGTTACACAGTGAATTTGCGTTTATTATTATATTTACAAAACACCAGCGGTTGGATCATTGAATTTTGTTGTATTTATCCGCCACACCTCAAAGTCGTAAAAACATTGTCTGACATTAAACCGTCCGTGGAGCAAAAAAGGTTGGGGACCGCTGTGTTAATGAACAAGTCAGTGGAATCACTATGTCTAAACTGTCCCATTACGGTGAAGCTATTTCAGTGTCCAACTCCAGTGTTTTGTCCTTTAACTTCTGTTCTTGTTGTTGAGTTGCACTGCACAGTGACATGTTTCTGCCTCTGCCCAGGTATTATGAAAATCTCTAAACAGCCTTTGAAACACAGAAAGTAAGAAAATGAAATTTTGCAGCATTGACATCAACATCGTTGCTTGAATTTGAATAATCCAACTCCACCTGATTTAGTTAATGTCAATCTTTAACACTGCTCCAAAGACTCAGAATCTGCAGCAGGTGTGCCAACGTCAGGTCACAAGTAAGAAATATACTGGTGATCTGCATGCACCAATCAGATCTGTGACTTTGCATTGTATTCACTATATCCAGAACAGCGTGAGGTCAGTACTGTGCAATATTCTCTACAGACAGGTTCGACAGCATTGTTTTATCCATTTCACAAGCTCATTTACTAAAGATACAAAAAACTGGTAGCATGTATCAAAGCTTATGAAAATTAGGAAATCAAGTACAACCCTGAAAGATTAAGAGTCAAATTGATTGTGTGTGTTGCCAGCGCGACGGCCAATCCTTCTCTATCCAGCTCTGCAGCAGTCGCAGCACATCAATGCGCTGATAGATGCGGCAAAGTTCAGTGAGCTCAGTGACCGTTTTCTGGTTGTAGCGTAACAGGAACTCCTGGGTGGGGCTGTGGGACAAGGAACCCTGGGTCCGATGCTCCAGCAGGGTCAGTTCGTCATAGCTCATCCCCCAACGACTCGCAAAGTTTTTCCAGTTTTTGATGGTGCAGTGGTTTGGATCCAATTTGAGCCGCAGCAAGTCCAGCAGATCTTTGTCGTTCATGAGGTCGCTGATTTTGGGAGGGGGTGCCGGGCAGAAGCACTTCTCGCAGGGGTTCGTTAAAAACTGTAGTTCTTTGGGATAGTCTGAACTCAGAGATGGACAAGGAAAGATTGAGTTAGCTCAAGCACATTACCAAATAACATTTGCTATCTGCTAACGACAATTTGCTAACAACTATTTAGCTTGTCAGTGTTTTCTGTTACGATGAAAAACAAACGCACATTTAACATGGAAAAGATTTCAACACATCCAAGAAATCCCTTTGAGGCAAAAAGCTTATCAAACTGCTTTAGTCTGGGTGGCTGTAGCTCAGGAGGTAGAGCAGGTCACCTTCTCATTGGAAGGTTGGTCTGCTCCAGTCTGCACGCCAGATATCCAAGAT